GAACAGAGATGGAAAACAGCTTCAGCACAGTGACTGGTCTCTAATTAAAGGCAATGTCACAGTCCTGTTAGATTTCCCACCAACAACACACTGCACACTCCTCCCCTTTGATGACAAGATAATAACAAACAGCCCCACTCAGCATTTCCCTTACACGCCATGCCCTCATTCACACATGCATAACAAAGAACTGTCTTCTATCTGGTTTATGTCATGACCTCATTCAGTGAAAAGATTTCAAACTGATAAAAATAAACAAAGTGAACGTGTCATAAATGCTACTGTGATGCTGTCAGTGATGAATTACATGTGTCAGTGTTTCCTCGAGAGTCCAAAAGAGTGTGAGCAGTTAAACATCTGTGAACATGTGTGTCCTGCTGCAGCCGTGACGTCAAAGACGGCAGTGTATTCATGACATCACTGACAGGGATGTGTGCGCTTGTGTGTGCGTGTTCGACTGGGGTCATAACACACACTCACATATGTTAACAGCTCTCTCTGCACATTGTTCTCAGACAGCTTGTCATAGGCCCAGGGCCAGACGCATTCTATAGCCCTGATGTCATCACTGCGAGACGGGGCATACGGGATGAGGAGCTTTTCTGTTTTTGCTTCTGTTTCCTCACCCTCTCACTCGCAAACACACTGGCATACACATTCACAGATGTCACGCAGCCATGACCTCACCACAGACCTGAGTCACAGCTATTTTGTAACGTCTTCATGCTCATTTTGAAGCCAGAGGAACACAAGATGATTGATTGATTGGTTGCAGATGACACAGACCATATATTAAACTGCACTCAGGCTGATAGTGGCTTATGGGGTTCAGAGATGATACACAAATCAACTGTTAAGCAGACAAGCACGCATATTCACCTGAATAATGGGTAAAGTTTTGAACTCCCACTGTTAAGTTTGTGGTTCAAGTCCCGTGAACACGTGTGATTGTGTAAGTTGCAGAAGGAGGAAGCTATGGATGAAGGGAGGAGGCACATGAAGGCAAATGGTAAGCCAGTGAGGACTGGTGTTCATGGCGGTACATTTTGTCCGAACCTACTGTAGTTGCATAACCTTCCCGGCACAGCATATGGAGCTGGTGGGTTTCATAGATTTTATTGGGATGTAAAATAAAGCACAGAGAGAGAAAAAGGCAGAAAGAAAACCTAATCCAAACATCTCAGCCTTCCAGCCTGGGCTTGAAATAGACACAGTAGACAGGACAGGTAGAGGCACAAACATAGACGGAGACAGCAGACATTCACACACCTACTCAAAACGCACTGCATTCACCTACTTATCCATTTCCTGACCGAACTGCTGGTTATTTAGTTACCGCAAACTAGCTATTACCACGGGGCAGGTTTGTGTGTTTGTGCACGTCACCCATGGCTGGCCCTGGATTCCAGGAAAGAAATGCTAGTTTTCTAGCACATGCTCAGATTTCAGCTTACTCAATCGCACCCCATTCACTTACACCATCCCTCCTCGTCTTTGAATGACAGGAAGGACAGATTTAGACCGCTGTAGGGCATTTAAAAATTTTACAGTGCTTTTAGGTTAGAGGCAAAGCATCCAGACAACTTACAGTTTTGTGGGTGTTTATTATTGTGAAGTTCGGTCTTCTAAGTGAATAAATGACATAGCAGAACTAGTTTGAGGATTAGGTCGAGATTTTACTTATTTCAAACTGGAGTGAAAGCAAGAAAAATATATGTGGCGGGGTAATGACATAGCACACTTGCATAACCTTTGTCTTAGCTACAGAGAGTTGGAGCGACTGCACATCAAGGAGAGTCTCTGGCTGAAACATAACCGTGGGACTTGTAATATGAGGGAGGGAAATGGGTGTTGGCGATTGGTGATATGACTCTGGAAGGAGAGCTTCCAGGTGTTGCGACGCCCCTCGCCAGCAAACTGAGGTGGAGAGGTGCTGATAGAGTGTAATGAGTGGACAGCTGGGGATTTTGGGAAGTAGTTTAGACTTGGACAGCTGAGTGTAAATAAAACACACACAATACGAGACACTTTGGTCTCTCCTCCGGCAATTTTCTTACTTCAGTACAACGGCCAACTACAGTAGCAATTCTATGTTACAGCAATGAGAAATGTTATTGGAGTGGATTGGGCAAAAACAGTTTCACAGATCACAGTGTAGAGAGCCCAGCTTCTGGTTTCTGTTACAGAAGTAAGAGAACCTCACTGAAAATCACACTGACATTTGTAATAATGCAAATGACTAAGAATCCAGCCCTGGAACAAAACCATGCTCCACTTTATGCTGTGTGGTTTAATCCATATGTCTAGACCAATGACTGGATATAAAGATGGACAACGCGTCTCCAATTCCTCCCACTGTACAAAAATGAAGCCAAAATATCCAGGATACGGCTGCTGCCAACTTGCCCTGATGACGTCATTGGGTGCCAGAGTCTGTGCAGTAGTGATCTTTGGTGTATCAAGTTCCTGCTGTCTGACCAATCGTGAGCAGCTAAACTGATCGCAAGAACACTGATTGGCAAACACAGCTGTCAATCATGATGGCACACCCTCTCTTTATACCATCAAATAACTAATTAAAACAAAACTAATCAGAAAAACAGACACTTGAACATGCATCAGCCTGATAAAAAGTACCAACAATGACTAAAACTATTGTTGGGAAAGATTTATTTGACGTGTACCTTGAACTTTTAGTTTGGTTCATGTCCCATGGCAGGGTTTGACCCATACTGCAGCTGGCCATGAGATGTTTTGGCTTCACTTCAGGGGAGCTGTCACATTATCTATCTTTATTTCACAGTCAATAGTGTAGACAAGGATGGCAAGGTTTTACAAAATGATGTAATAATGTTGTTTATTTCATATTTCTGTTCTAAGCAACCATTACCAAACACCGTTTCTCATAAGCCCAAGACTGTTGAACATGACAAGCTTGACAGACTGAAGCTAGTTGAGTGGTGAGCTGTGTGAACGGACAGGGAGGGACAAAGAGCACAGATGTTTTTTTCAGGCATTTTTCCCTTTATCTTTCTTTTTTCATTTTCCCCTCATTTTATCTAAAAATAGAGGAGATGTGAAGGGAAATGAGGAGTGCGAGTGATGAATGACATTTAACAACAGTCCCCAACTGGACTCAAACCACAGATAATGTGATGACTTGGCCGCCATCTTGAACTCCAAGGCGGCCAAGATGCCAGCATAGACACTTTATAAAGAGCAGAGATTACAGCTTATGTTGGGACAGTGATATTAGTGACATGAATGTGGGTGGATATCATGGATAACAGAGGGTGTGTTGGAAAAAAACATTGGCTTTAGTTTTTATGAAAGCTCAAAAATAAATCATTGTTTAAATTCTAATAGCATGTGCTGTAGTCGATACTCATCGACTGTATCTTAGAATACTGATAGCAAACCCTGGAAACACATCTGAGGCACTGATTTACAGAGACTAGTGCAGACAACTTGCCTGGATGTGCCTAGATCTCTATCAACCAAATCAGATAGCCTCTTCCATACATATGTGCTCACTTGGCTTGATTCAGTTTGACTCCGCACATCATCTCAGCATGACAGGGATTTGCATCTCTATACAACAGGGTTACCTACTTAAAGGTGTGTCTTTAACTAATGATGTTAAAAGCATGGCGCTCAGTAGGGCTGTTTATTTTTGTACTGTGCAACAGTTGTTGTTAGCCAGCTATTTATCATCATGGATTTTCAGGCTTGAAAAACAGAGACTGGATGACGAAAGACTATTTAAACATGTCACTGAATCCTTCCTTCATGATGACAAAGCCCAATCTCAAGTCACCATTACCTGTTTGGAGGCGGTCTTGTGTGCTTTTTCCAAACTCTGCAGATTGTTAGGGCTAGGTTTTGTTTAGAAAATTACGATACCATTATGAATACCAGTATCCTTAAGGTTATACAGATACCAATAGAGTACTCCATAATGTAAATGGAGTGTAGTAAACTGCCAACTGCCAACCCTGTCAATACACCGTACTCGACCTTATCACACCACAGACTGTATGGGCTGTAGTTGCTGCTGCGGGAGTGTGAGCTCCAGCACGGACTGACAAAGCTGAGCTGTTTTGGTGTCGGAGGGAGTTTGTTGGTATCCTTTATTGGCCCAGTGTTAGACGTTAGCCACTGCTGTTTTGTTAGCTTGTAACTACTGGGCAAATGTTAAACTGACTGTTCGCCTTAAGGAGCGCATCTCTGAGTCTTGAGACATGAGCAACAGATATTTTGCTGATGCGGCTGGTTGTAAGGACTGTACAGGATCAGACCCCAAGGGCAAAAAGGATCAAATGCAGGTAGAACGTAAAATATTACTTGGACCAGGTCACTTAGGTCGATGCCTTAAAGGTACTGACTACAGATACCCTGCCCTGGAGATGGTCCATCTCAGGTGTGACCTGGCACAACTCATTAGCTTAAACTGTTAATGGAAACGCAAATCAGTACGGCATGGTTTAGACTCAGCATGGCCAAAAGTGCCAATGGCAAAGCCCTAAGAGACTTTTTTCGGGATATTTATTTTGATTTGAAGAATTTGAAGATGTCCAATGAACCCTTGATAATTAAAGGAGACAGGGCCAATCACACTCTCACCGTTATCATGCAGATACCCTAACAATCCCATTCTCAACAACAAACAGATAACAATATAAGAATAAACAGCAGAGAAACAGAAGAAAGTGGGAAAGAGGAGTCATTGTATTTCATTTCAAGCGTGGAGATTTGGGTGCTTGTGTTCAGAAATCAGAAACGTAACCTACTCAGCTGACAATGTAGATATTTCTGTCTGTGTGTATGATTACCTGACCTATTTCTTCAGGGTGTGCAAATGTATTTGTTAAAGGTCAGGACAATGTGACTCATCAGACCAGTGATCGGTAATGGAAACAAAACCCTCCCCACCCTCTGTGTGTGTGTGTGTGTGTCTGTGTGTGTGAATGTATGTGTGTGCGGGGGTGCTATTTACTCACATGTGACACTCTTGCTGGGTGTCGTAAGCTCCGTGTGCGAGAGGCCGCTGCTCCACTTGTCTCCATCATCGCTTAGCAACCTTTCTGGGGTGCCATTTAACCTCAATATGAGGGGCTCAGTATAGGTGTGGGCCACATCTGAAAACAAACAAACAAATGATACACAATTATAAAACTGCTTTCTGTAAGACCACAAAGTTTTATGTTTATGTGAAGTCTATTTTAAGGTTCACGTTCCCAGTTTTCCGGAATGAGTAGCTGCTTTCCATGTGGATATTATCAGGTACCCGCGGCAAGCTGTTTTCCCACTTGTAGTAAACTTGTCTACTCCCATGTCATTTCCCATCCACTAGCACTTAATTAATTTAAACAGAGTAGTTCTGCTGACTTCAACAAAGCAGAAGATTTTGTCTGTATGTCTGTGCTCTGTCCTGAACTTGCATCTGGAAGCAGTTAAATCCAACCCCTTGGGACTGTTTAGGGGTCTATGTGCATGCTTGTGAAACCTGAAATCTGTGTGGGTCTATGCGTGTGCTAGGATGACTGTTTGTGTTTGAGAGTGGATGTACGTGTGTTTAAAATGAGCACGTAAGAGGACATACACATAATATACATACAGTAAATATATGTCTGGGTGTTTTTATGTGTTCACCGGTATCATGCGGCGCTCTAATGAAGCTGTTATTATGCACACACACACACACACACACATACATACACAGAGGCCTTCAAAGCAGGGCAGGCTTGGGCCTCTGAGAGGTGCAGACTCATTCCTGGGCAAATGGGAGCCAGCTGGGTTTGATAAACACACACAAACACACACACACACAAACCAAACCGCGTCCTGTGCGTGGACTCAACACTTCCCGGCTATGTTTATTTACTCTATCCACTCTCGCTCACTTCTCTATCTGTCCTCTCTTTCCTGTCCCCTGCCTCTCGCGTTCTTCGTCTCCATTTCACATTCCCTCTTCACTCTTCCAAATAAATTCCTTCACATACTTGGCGTAACTCCATAGATTAATTCCCACTTTTACAGCCATACATATATAATGTCTACGGAAAGGTTCCTCAGACGTAGACAGACTGCTTTGAGTGAAATGAAAGAAAAGACGTAAAAACAATAGAATACAAGAGTAATTTCTAGGGATGAGATGAGCTGTTGATAGAATCCAGTTATCTGGTTCTGATCTTGTGTTTGTCCAAATATAACTACTGTGCTGTTGCTTTATTTATTAATGCATGAGGGAAAGCAAACATAGCACTTGCGGAGGTCCAGGCAGGAGCATGAAGTCATTAGTGCCACCGACCTTCATCAGCTGATCTCACTCAGTGTAAAAATAAATCAATGCACAAAACAGAGCTGTCTTTTTAAATGGAGCTGACATTACTCACAACTACACTTTTAAGTAAACTTACTTTAACTACTGAAGACGTACCAGTTTATTCCCCATTTATTAAGATATGACAAGTATCACCCATTTTAGGGCTGCGCTGTCTTTCAATATTACATGTTATCGTCTCTTCTTATAATCAAATTACAAAGTGAGAAGGCTCAAATGAATCTCTGAAACATTTTTTTCTTGATTATTCAAGAGCTGCAATGAATAGTCAGTTAATCCATCAGTGGAATGACAGAAAATTAATCGGTAACTATTTCAATAATAAATTGTTACTGTAATTTGATAAAAGATTTTCTCCTTTTCAGTTTTATTAGCCTGGGAGCCAGATGAATGCAAGCTCAGGTTTTATTTGCTCTGGCAGATGTGTGTGGTCCCCTCCACCCATTCAGATAGATTTCCAGCCGACCTGACCTGGGTCGGGCCAATCACAACTGTTGATCTAATAGGGGGCATGTTTGAGACAAAGACTGAAAACTTGAGGAGCCTTTGTGCTTTACACGAAATACATGATGATGTCATTTTTGTCTGGCGCTCCCTCATGTTGGGGAGATACATTGGTGAGCATAAACCTAGCTTTGTAAAGAGACCTGATAGACATATTGATGCTACATCATCATAGCTCATCTCTGCACACTGTAGTCTGTTAACTTTTGTCCATCGCTCAGCACTATATCACATATTTCACTTCTCTGATTGGTTATAGATCTATCCAACTGCATCCAGAGGCATTTTGGTCTACAGCTGTTGATAATGCCCCTTGAAAACTGAAAAAGAATTATGACGTTTCAGACTAACTTGCATTGGCGACTCAGTCTGGCATTGTCAGTCTAATGTTTTGTATCACTGTAAACTGAACCTTTTCTGATTTTGTACCACGAGACATTTGAAGATGTAATCTTGGACTTTGAAAAAATCACATGGACATTTTTCACTGTTTTCTGATTTAGACCAAACGATAAATAATTAAATAATCATCAGACAAATCGACAATTTAATAATTAAATTATTCTAAGTTTCAAGCTTCCAGTTTGTTTTTTCTAGTTATTCCATTTTGTTCCTGTAAAACACGCTTAACACAGAGGAAAACATGACATACTAACAGATGCAAATCTGCAGTAATCACTGTAATATGTCCCATGTTGTCCACACCTACTTGAAAGTACTAAATAAATTCTCAAAAATAACATCACAACAGTGAAAAGAAGTATTTTATTAACTGATGACAGCAACACATTTTCAATCACTTATTGTAACAATGACTAACTACCAGTAAGTCATGGCGTCACCACATGTTTTTAGTGAATTCCATTATTCAGTACGTGTTTGTGTGCAGTGTGTCTATAACACAAGGAGGGGAAGAGACATAGACACAGAAACTCATGCAAATTATATTTAATCTCCAATAATTAATTGATTATAGATTTCAATGTGGCAACAATTCTGTTTCGGCAAACAAGAGCTGCTGCTCCTTTTTCTGCCATTTTTTTTTGTGCAGCGCAACAGGATGAGTCTCCAGTATTACCAACCTGCAGAGTTCCAAGCACCGTTAGCCTGTCTGAAGGAACACTATCTTTATTTTCTTAGAAAACAAAGTATATCAAAGCTGCTGGTATGAATCACTCGGTTATGTAAGGTGGTCTAACCTTGATGAAGAGGAACAGTGTTTTAAGTATTTGAAGATTTGTGTTTGCCTTTACTTTCATGAGTTTGTGTGTGTGTTTGTATGTGTCTGTGTATTTGTGGGGATTTTTGTGTGTAATGGGATCTCTGTGCGTGTGAAGTTGGAGGAGGCATAAACAGGACCTGAAGGGATGGGAAGTGCTTCCTGCTCTTCCAGTCTATTAGACGGTGGTACACAAACCCCATACCTGTACACAAACACACATGCTCATATACACATAAAACATATATATTCATGCCCTAATGTTACCTTCCCATATCTAGTACCAGCTCTCTCTCCCCACACACACACACACGCGCACACATATGCTTGTCTCTTGCATGTGGAAGCCATTTCTAAGGCCCATGTTGTATCCATTAGTCTCAATCAGCCGGCTTCAGATATGAAAGCCACTAGTGAGAACTGTTGCCCTCAACACTGCCAAATGTCTAGTTTAGAGATATGTGTGTATTATAGGCTGCATATGTCACTGGCAGGCAGTGTATATGTCTAGTATCTATCATTATATCCATCCACCAGTCATTCCTTATTTTACTTTCTTGTAAGCACCTTGGCTAACACTCAGCGTTAAAAAGAAGATCTATGCAAAAAAACAATATATGTAACTCCATCATACATCAGTCCACAGGCCCAGTCATGCATTTTTGATGATCTGTTTAAACATCATGTTTAATATTCTTATAATCAGTGATCAATTAGCTCATCAAAGTCCATCAGTTACCTATAATCATCCATTGTTCTGTGCAGCTGGTATCCATTTTATCAAATATTGAGGATGGATCATAAAAAAGTAGTATTTCACCATCTGCTGGCGGGCAACAATTGACTTTAATGACTGTCGACACTTGGCAGGTTTTTGAAAATATCCAGAGCAGTAACATAATTCAAACAAAAAGTGCTTTAGGTGGCATTTATCGGTTCTTCTCATTTTCTTTCTCATGTTGTTTTGGTCCTGTTCTGTGGAAGCTGCTTTTGGGGGCAATTATGTCATTATCAAAGCCACACGAGAGCCCAGCGTAAGCAAACTACGGGAAAGGAGAGGCCAGTCATCTTCAGTGTAAAGGTCTATGACTCCATAACAAATCATTTTAAGAAGAATCCATTACTGCTGAGAAATACAGATTTATATAAACCCGTGACACAGCGTTTATGCAGACTCCTTGGAGGTGTGACAAACATCTGTGTTGCTGCTCTTGTTGGAAGAATGAATGTTAAAGATATGCAATAAATGCACCAAGTATAACACCTGCACATTTTTACTGAGTATGTGTTCAATGATCTGGCAGCTGAAGCACCTCATACCTCAGTACAGTAGTTTGTTATATATTCTCATTTAGACTCCCGCTGCCAGTGGAGTACTATGGGTTAAAAGTGTGTAGGTCTTGTGACTCAGTCAAAGCTTTCCCTCTGTAAACGTTCAAAACCACGATTGTTGGAGCAAAAACACATCCCCACCGAACCCCTAGTGCCATCCAAGCAGGCCTTCAACCAATTGTGTGTTGGCATCAGCATCAAACCACCAAACCGCTCGACCTCAGAGCCATTTCTGAGATCTGAGAAAGATGAGCCTCTAATTCAAATCAGACCAGAGCAATCAAGAGCCGCTGAGGAGATCTGGCTGCGTGTTTACACGTGTGGGTGAGTACGTGTATTTGTTTGTGCATGTTTCACTGTGTGCTTGTGTGTGTGTGTGTGTGTGTGTGTGTGTGTGTGTGTGTTTGTATGTGTGTGTGTGTTCATGTATGTGCGTGTTTGTAATTTGGTGTATGTACACGTGTCAGTGGGCCTGGGGCAATCCAGAGGAATTTCAGTCCCCTAGTAAACAAACAGTTAGCCATTAAAACAAAAACATATGGATCACATAGGGCAGTGGCTCTCGTAAACACAACACACACAAAGATCCAGGCTACAAGGGTTGGTAAATGACATGACATATCCGGGATCACCTGAAGGGGAGCACAACCTGCTGCTCCTCTGGGTATGACCTCTGAGGGGGAGTGCTGAGCTGAGTTTACCTGCTGCCTTTTAAATTAACTCTCAACCCTGTTTCTGTA